TTTATCATGACAAGTTATAGATCAAGTTCGAATTTTGTTCCAGTCTGATGATTTAGTCCAGAGTTATGGACCATAACTCTGGACCATATCTAATGTTAAAGTACTATGTTAAACCATATTTCTGTACAAAGGGAGATAACTCATTTTTTAAAAGACATTCTTTGTTAAATTATTTGAAGAATGTGTATATTTCAATACATTACATTGTGTAGATAAAAGTTGTTGATATTTTATAGATAAGTTACAAATCTATATTAGTTTGTGACAAATGAAAGAAAATATTTGGAACTATTAATTATATTTGATTATAATTTGAAAATAGAAATACACTGCATTACATCATATCTAATTTTAGAGAACTATTAATCATATCTAATGTTTTTTTCACTCATATAATCAGTTTTCCACACTGTTTTTAGTCATGCTTGAAGATATTGACATGATATTTACTTTTTGTTTACACCATGACAAGTTATAGAACAAGTTAGCATTTTGTTCCAGTAAAATGAATTTTTACCTGGTAGGGGACTATGTATTGCCATGCAATACTCTCAGAATGCTTGTTTATTATATGTTGTATTAAATCATTTTAGGTGTAAATGAAGATAACTTAATACCTGGGAGTATGTGGCCCTTAATTTTGAGCTTTGTTAGGACAAATGCTGTGTATGTGACATTCCCTGTAGCAGTTGTAGTTGGTTTTGTTGGATATAATTTTGAAGCTATTATTGGAAGAGCTGAATCACCATGGAAAATGAAAAGTATTCAGGAAGAGAGGGATGAAAGACAGTTTAAAGAACTGAAAGAACATAGTCCAAGTGATGTGCCTAGTTTAAAGTCTAAAATGGATATACCAAAAACAGTTTTGGATAGAAATGACAAAAGTCAACTTAATCATTGAAAAAAATAGCAATAAATTTTTATGTTTTCAGATGTTGATTTTTTATTATTTGCAAGATTTTTGAGGAAAGCTTATATATTTTGGTCACTATATAGTTGATGAGAATATTTAAATCAGAACATGAACAATTTGTGAGGGGGTGACCTATTGAAATGAAAAATTGTTCCTGCATTTTTCCAATGACTTTAAAATGAACAAGATTACACATGCTGAAATGTCTTCCCTGTTTTACTTATCATTTAATTCATGTTGAAAGTCTGTAACATGAAGGTTTTTTTACTACAAGTATAACATAAACTTAACATTATCAATGTTCTATGAAAATGAGGTCACGGTCAGATGAACCATGTCTAACAGACATGTACACCTTACAATCATTCCATACACCAAATATAGTGATCCTGTTGCTAATAGTACCTGGGAAACAGAATAAACCACAAAATCTGATCATTGACCAATGGACCATGAAAATGTGGTCATGGTCATATGAACCATGCCGGACAGACATGTACACATTACAAATGTTCCATACACCAAATATAATTGACCTATTGCTTATAATATCTAAGAAATAGATCAAACCACTAAAACTAAACATTGACTAATAAACCATGAAAATGAGGTCAAGGTCAGATGAAACCTGTCAGTTGGACATGTATACCTTATGATCATTCTGTGCACCAAATATAATTGACCTAATGCTTATAGTATCTGAGATACAGAATAGATCATGTAACTTTAATCTTGATAACTGATCCATGAAGTGAGGTTGAGATCAGATGAAACTTTACCTGACGGACATGTAGATGTTTGAAGGAACCCATATAACAAATATAGTTATCCTATTACTCATAAGTGAGTATTTCATTTGTCAATGAACCATGAAAATGAGGTCCAGGACAATGGACATATGACAGATTAAACCTTCGCAACATAAGGTATCTGTATACAAGGTATGAAGCATCCGTCTTTTACCTTCTGAAGTATAAAGATTTATACAAATAATCCGCCAGATTGTAATCTCTGTCTTGCAGTCTGCGACTTTCATCGCAGGCTAGACAAAAAGTGCTCACTTGGTTCACATTTGTTTTTTTTTAATATATTTATTCTCATCACGAATATGCTTGAAATATTTGCCATTAACAGAATTTCTTCAACAATCAATTAAATTTACAAGTGGTAGAGGAATATTTGCCACACAGGCAATTTGGAGCAAGAAATCAATTACAGAATAATTCAAGATAATCCCTTATAACAAATCTGGTCTCTGAAGGTAAGGAAGGAGGCATGTAAAAAGTATAGGAGAGTGAGCTTAGAACCGATCTGATCTTTCCAATTGATTTTTACAGTTTTTATATGTCTGTCCATCTAAGAAGAGATGTGTAATGGTATACTGTACTCCATCCGTATAACAACACTTCCTATGGAAACTCAAATTTGCTTTCACCTACAATTCGCATGAAATTTAAAAAAAACAACATTTAAATTGACTGAAGAAGGCTCCTTTTGATTTTGATATTTTTTTAATTTGTTGATCAAGGGTTACTGGACTTATCACACAATAACTGGAATTAGCTTTGATCAATTTACTACAAATTTTACACTGATGTTTGGATTGATGAAAGAAAGCCATAGGTGGATCCAGGGGAGGGGGCCCGGGCCCCCCCTTTTGTGGGAAAAATTTGGTTGATTATATAGGGAATCACTGAAGCATGACTGGAGCGGGCCTCCCCTTAGGTGAGTCAGCGGGCCCCCTTCTTATGAAAAGTTCTGGATCCGCCACTGAAAGCTCCCTTTTGATTTTGATTTTGTAGTTATCGTTCCAGGGTACAGGACTTGAACCATCAGATTTATAGTTTTTAACATATCAAGCACTCACTAGAGTATGCTTAGATTTACTCAAAATTTACACTGTTTTTGGGATTGATTAAAGAAAAGTTCCTTTTGATAAAATATTTTCTGGTTTTTCATTCCAGATTTACAGGAATTTGACTGTTTGATTTAAGTTAATTTTTCACATCTTATATATACTAACTTGAGTTTATTTTTATAGATTTACTTGAAACTTTACAAAATTGTTATAATTGGTGAAAGTAAGGTATCTTTTGATTTTGAAAATTTTCTGATATGTAATTCTAGAGGAACTACAAAGTCAAACTTAAGGTAAACCATTCATATGTCACGCACTAGGTTTAGTATGCTAGGATCAAATTACTACAAAGTTTACACAGTTGTTGGGATTGGTGAATGAAATCTTCCTTTCCATTTTTTGGTCTGATGATACAAGTTCCTGGGGCTCTTTTCATCTAAAACTGATAGTAAATTATGCTGAAATGTTGATGACTTTTTTGTGAAATTAGTCACTGATTTAAGTGTTCCTGATGAAAGGAACACTTTTTTTATATATCCAGAGATGCAACAAGGATGTAGGAAATTTATAACGTGTGCATTTCATTTATGTGATATTGATGCTAGTAGCCTGATATCAATTGGTCTTTGGTTACTATCTGCCATAATTGCAGGTTATTTTGGTGAATTGTATAATTCAAGTCGTTGATTTTTTTCTTCACATTTTGTTATCCTGGGCTTTGATAACTTACTAAAAGGTATGAGTTTTGCTCATTGATGAAAGTCGTACAGTGACATGTAGTTTCGTCTTGGTTGGAAAGTTGTCTTACTCGCAATCATACCACATTTCCATTTTGTAGCAACCTATAGTCAGATGAGTAACTCCCAGTTGTGAATTTTATAATGCTTATTCATGTTAAGAGAAAACAAAGGAATATCAGTAACAATAAAATTTTATTTCATTTTTCACATAACAAAAATTTGATTTCTGTATTAAAGGTTTTGTAGCAAGCATACATATTGCACCTAACAAAAATTCAAATAACAACAACAAAAAAGATCAATCAATATTTGTTAATTTTCCTATTCAATAAGTAAATAGTAAGTGTAAATAAAAAAACATTTCAAATTTTACCATTTCAACATGAAGACAGAAACTTTAAGTTGATAGACTATTTGTATCTTTGAAAAAGCTTTATCTTTCCATTTAAGGTTGTCTTGTTTTTTTCAGAAGAATAGAAACAGAAGTATAAAAACAAACAAAAAAATGTATCAGGCTTAATCAATTTAAAAAAGATTTAAACAACCTACAAAAAAAGTTGAATTTACCTTTCATGTAACAGTACCTTCAACTTGAAATTTAATGTTACCGATAACTAAATGGAAGAAAGTTGACAATAAAATTAAATGCAAATTTTAACCTCTTTCAAAACCTGATTTGTCAGGGGCGGATCCAGCCATTTTTAAAAGGGGGGATTCCAACCCAGGATAAAACGGGTGTTCCAACCATTTGTCCCCATTCAAAAGCATTGATCATCAAAAAAAAAGAGGGTTCCAATCCCCGGAACCCCCCCTGGATCCGCCACTGTTTTTTTGTGCATGAAATAAAGGTGTTGACCTACTTTTAATACAAGCCTTAACCCCATTTCAAGACGCATGGATGTAAAATAAGATGATCTATGAACTCTTATGGTCGCTGAGAAATCAATCCAAATGTGGACACATGTGCTGACCCAACTGTGTCAAGTCAAACTATAGCATTTTTTCTTTTTTCAGTATACATACATCAATATATATTTAATAAGAAAAATGTAATATATAACAGGTTATTATTTGAACTTGGAATTATTTTTAATTATGGAATTTGCATAATTTCTTGTGCTGGAAATTTTTAATAAATTCCATGTTTATTCTGTACTTCAATGTTCTGTGCTGTGCACAACACTTTCTATTACAAAGAAAATAGTACATTTTCAATAGAATGTATTGTGCCGCGCACAACACTATCTATACAAAATACATTATATGGAAAGTGTTATGAACCACTCAAAACATTATAATAACAAATAAACAAGGATTTTATCAAAAAATTCAAGCACAAGAAATTATGCAAATTCCATAATTAAAAATAATTCCAAGTTCAAATAATAGCCTGTTTTATGTTTTTAAGTATACTACCGGGTAAACAATAAGGGAAAAAATATGCAGCAATGCATGTCAGATTACCAAAAAAAATAAAAATTAAGCAATAAACAGTTTACTCTTTATTAAATTGAAAGAATAAAACTGCAATGTTTCACTGATGTAATGTTTAAATTATTCCATAAAAGAATGAATTCTGAAAATGAAGCCATTGCCAAAACTTAAAAATAACCACTTGAGTGTGAAGATGAGGTCAAGGCCGAATTGCAAACTTTACAATCCCTTCAAGTTTAATCTACAGTAACATACTAGCATTTAAAGAGTTTAACCTACGAACAATAAAAGTATATTTTACTGAGCCGTAATTCAGAGTAAACATATCAATCAAAAATATACTTTTACACATACAAATATAAAAAATATATCAGGCACTGAAATAAGATTGTCACGTTTCACAACATCATGGATTTTCTTTGAAGTAGATCATTATATTTAACATATAATAAAAAAATATAAAGAAATTAAAATACTGAAGACATGATTTGTTCAACAAAAGTCTGCTACACCATCACATAGCAGAGGGAAGGTTCGTCTGGAGACAGCATACACATAAAATAGCTAACAAGTTACACAAACAGACATTGGTTCTGTGCTTTTTAAAAGCAAATAACAAAACACATTACATATAATAATACAGTAGCTTCACACATAAGTAAAACATTTCACAACATTGTGAATTTGTCTCGTACAACATTTTTCTTTAGAAAATTTTAAATAATCCAAGGAAAGCAGCAGGCAGACTACTTCAAAGTTCAAACAGTTAAATAATCTATTTAAACACAATAATTATTGAGTATTTATAAAGATAAAAAAAAATTTCCAAATGTGTATATGTACTTTGTTAGGAATAATAATTTTGAAATTACTAAATAATTAGAACCTGTTGGGCAACATCTACTTGTACCAGGAATACATGCGTAGCTTTGAAGTTTAAAATGATCAGTGTAAGGAGTTTTTTACTTTATACTATTACCTTTATGTCCAATTATTGTTTTCAAATATTTCTTTTTTTAGCAGTTTATATGATAGAATAAAACATAATTCAAAAATCTGTTTGTCTTCTTTTTTTTAAATTTCCTGTTCTCCGCACAAAAAAACTATTGCAGGGCAAGCCATTGGTATATGATAAAAATCATAATGATAGTATGTATAACTTCCTGATAATAACTTGGAATAAGGTATTGGACACATACAATTGCAGTACAAGCATAGGGCTTTGCATAGCAACATTCCCTGAATTATTCTTCATATTAATACATCAGATATCATTCTGTGCTACTGTATGTTGACCGTTTGAGTGATAACGGATAAGCTTGAAAATAAGGCTACAGAAACTAATTTTCAGTTCTTTGGATTTCAGGGAAACAAATAGTCAAATATTAACAATATTTGACTATTTGTTTCCCTAATATTAAAATTTATATTGATTTTCTATTTCCTATGTTGAAAATAGTTAAAGGAGAGCAGATGGAGGGTTTGTAATTCTAGACATAAATTTCAAATTAAGCATTATTAGATTTTAGTCTGAAGTGAATTACAGGAGTGGACAGGAAAACAATACGAAACTTTGGTTCATTGGACTTTTAAAATCTACATTAGTATAGCATTTACCATATGAAATCATATCACAATACAAAATGGCACCTGCTTGTTGGTTTACTGACATTTTTGTCATATACAGTATATTTGTAAATTGAAATTTTATACATATCCTTTACAATTATAGAAATATTAGATTATCTATATTTTCATATTTACAGTAGTTCAAATTCAACAGCAACAATATAAATAAAACAAAAGAGAACAATTATCAATGTCTTTCCAGCAGACGTGATTATGACTGAATTTTTTATTTCAAGTCTGTTGGAAAATCAAATTACATGTACATGTTACAAATTTACAAGGAACACTAGAATCTCACTGTCATATAACATACCTTAGATTGGTTTATTGATTGTTGCCTACTCAACCTGCAGTGGCAATCAGTGGCAATCAGTGGCAATCATTTCATTATGATTGAGAGCCCATTAATAACGTATACAATAAGTAATAAAATTGAGAATGGGGAATATGTCAAAGAGACAACAACCCAACCAAAGAGCAGACAACAGCCGAAAGCCACCAATGGGTAGTCTGCAAATAGGTAAATTAGTGTGCAGGGCAAAAATTTTGACCCTCTAGAAAAAGGAAGCATGTTGAATTGGGGCAGAAATTTTGCCTTGCATCAGGCCATTTATACATATCCCAATTGTTTTATTAACCATGTATAAATGCAATCTTATGATTGGTCAAATACCCAGTCATATATCTGGTTAACACTGAGGAATTTTAGTATCATTCATTATCTATTGGGGTATACTGGGATATTTCATGGTTTTAAAATCCCATATTTGCAGAGGTAGGAGGGGTGTGTCATTTCAAATTCCAGAAAAAATAAAACATTCTTTCCCAGATCCTAAAATGATTAAATTCCCAAGTCCCTATAAGTGTTAATCCCAAACTCCCGTGAAAATAAAGGCACAATCCCGAATTCCCGCAGAAATAAAAGGCCAAATCCAGATGTCCTGAAAAAAGTGCAGATATGAAAAAAAAAAAAAAAAAAAAAACTCAGCAAAGCTAGCAGGCTTATAATTTATACAATTCATCAGTTTGGCTTGAACTTAAACAGTTGGAAATTTAAATCTATCACAAAAAAAGAAGGGCATTGAAAAAAAAACCTAGCAAATGCCATCTATGCCTGGAGTAACAAAAAACCTTAACATATATTGTAACATACAATTTTAACAGTTTATAATCAGTAAATTTACAAAAAATGACTGCATCAACAAAATTTAAATGTTAACACGGAAACGTAAATAACTTGAAGTCTTTTTCAATTCAGTGCCATTATCACATGGATGAAATTGGAATGTTTAAATTAATATATATGTATCATAAAATATTATTTTAAAATAAATATAGATGAAAGACAACTGGTTTATATCAATATAGATGCCATCTGAATGGTAAGGAAATAATGTCATTGCTAGCTACCCAGTACCTTACCCAAATGCTTATCAAATGACTAGAATATAGTTGACAAGACGAATGTGACATACCCTCAGTTGACAGTTTTTCTTATATAAACTTCCAGAACAATCACGTTTTATTAATATGTGGAAATAAATAACAGATTGTACTTATCGATACACATGCCCTTCAAGATAATCATCCTGTTTCTAATGCATTTTATACCTCATTATGATAACTTTGACTAAAGTTTATCAATATGACATCATTGATAACTCAGGGTCAAATATATTTGGTATCACAAAGCTGTTGGCAATGTGGTTTGGCTTGATATAACATCATAGTAACACTATTACGTAGAATACCCTACTGAAAAATAATAAACATAACAGATTTTACACAATAAATTTAACAAACTACCAATTCAAAAAGTAAAAGTATTGCAAGATGAGCTGACATTGGTCTATATCCTGTTACTCCAAAACTCAAAATAATGGACTAAAACTAATGGCATTGACTTTTTTTTCTATATTACCCTGTATATAAATCTGTTTCCCAGATTGATTATATGTTTTGTACAAATAGTACACACATTAAAACTGAACTTTGGTTTTGAAATTAATACAATGCAATATATTAACTCCCAGAGGACCCAGATCCTAAGTGAGAAATTACATGCATTATGTAAACAAAATAAGAATATCCACCAATTTGTCATGCCTGTTCAATGAGCGTTTTTAAAGATGGCTAATTTCCTCTTCCAATCAAGAATCTTCCAGACCAGGAAACAAATGAGTAAGTATGAAGTAGGCTAAATCTTTATTTCCCCAGTATGAGGTGTGTGATGTCAACAATGAGATATAACTGTTGGTAAAATTGCCAAGTCTAATCTGGTAATCTATTCTGTACTCCAAGTCTGTAAAAATTAAACAAATAAAGTGACTTAATGCTGTGTTTTAACAGATTGTTTTCTATTCCTGATTGTGATATTTTGACTGAGTTTGAATTCGATAGACAGGTGATGCCTGCACACATATCAGGTGATGTCCATGCACCAGGTCTCGATTCTTTAGGAGTTCATGCCATTCCCTTAGTTTTTGTTTGTTACCTTGATTTGAATGTCAATTATGAATGTTAAATGTTTCAGAAAACAGAGCTGTTTTATCAGTTTACTTATTTACTGTACAAGTTATAAAAAAAATATGGCAACTAGGACCAAATGATAGAACAATCATTTATACAACCAGAAATCAATATGTGTAGTGATGATGTATCTGAACAGACTTTTTTTAAATGCATAACAGTAGCAGGGAAAAACATTTTATGAGACTGACTGAATTAAGAGTCAACACAGGGTTAGTTCATTAATACATGAGCATCATGATGGTTGCCACATATGAAGCAGGATCGGCTTACCCTTCCGGAGCACCTGAGATCACCCCACATTTTTGTTGGGGTTCGTATTGCTCAGGTTTAATTTTCTATATTGAGTTTTGTATACTGTTAGTCTTTTGATTGTTTTTCGTTTCTTGCCATAGCATTGTCAGTTTATTTTCAACTAGTGAGTTTGAATATCTTTGATATCTTTCATCTATCTTTTACAATATTTTTCGGAATTTTAAACTTTGAAATAAATTATCTTTAATTTCAATTAAGAATGTTAAAAGCATTATGACTTTCTTCAGATAAAAAATTATTTCTACTAATAAATAATTTCCAAAATAAACATTTGCTATTTTACCATTGCTTTCTATTAATAACTCATTAATTTTTAGAATTATCAGTCACCACCTTTAATAAAGTTGATTAAACCATCATTACTATAATTGACAATCTAATTGATTACAAGACCTAGTGGCAAAAGTAATATTGGGACATTGGCGTACAACATATCTATTCTGTAAACATCGGAATGCTATAATGTCAAATATAACAGAAATTTATGACTAAACAAGAATGTGTCTATAGTACACAGATTGTCCATAGTACACGGATGCCCCACTCGCACTATCATTTTCTATGTTCAGTGGACCGTGAAATTGGGGTAAAAACTCTAATTTGGCATCAAAATTAGAAAGATCATATCATAGGGAACATGTGTACTAAGTTTCAAGTTGATTGGACTTCAACTTCATCAAAAACTACCTTGACCAAAAACTTTAAACTGAAGCGGGACAGACGGACGGACGAACCGAGGCACAGACCAAAAAACATAATGCCCATGGGTGGGGCATAAAAAAATGTTTAGTATACATCCATTAGACAGAAACCCAATAAGACAAAATATCAACAGGTCAGGTTTATCATATTCAATAACAGACAAGCGTGTATACAATACTTGAGTTCTGAAATTGTTCTTTTTCTGTATCCAATTTCAATTTACAGACAAAAGTCATGTAACAACGTTAGAATTCTATGCAATGTTAGGGTCAATACCATGACGTCTGCATGAAAACATCAATTTATGAAAATAGAAAATGTGTGGTCCAATTTTTTAAGCTGAAATCTATTTAAATTATTCCAATATCTTAATTCGCCTGTGTCAAAAACTAGGCAAGTGCATAGAAAAAATTCATGCGATATGACTTTTTGAATCTTTACATTGAAACCTAAGCTGTCCTGGAACTCTCCTATATATGAAGCTCAATAATCTATAAGTAAAGACAAGTTGTGAATAAATTCAAGAGACTACATAAAATCTGCTTCCCTTAAAGGGGCACTAGCAACGAGATATGAAAAAAATTAGAATATGATTTCGTTTGGTTCAATCACTAATAAAAGTGAAATGATGAAATAATAATTCGTATTTAGCAGCCAATTTGGTTCAATTTTGTCAAAATAAGCAAAGAAATATCGCTGATGAATTATTCACTTGCAAGTGAATAATTCGACCCCATTATATCTGTATTCATGTGACCTTCAATTTAACGCATTAGATAGATTGGTCACGCATGCATAAGTCTTGTTCAGCCATTAAAAGTAAAAGTATGTCAACATTGAAAGTGAAACAAAGGTGAATCATTTTGTTGACTAATTCGATCCACAAAAAAATCATTCTTATACAGGTGAAAACGTTAATCAACTTATTTTTTAACATATAACATGAAATCAAAAAGACCTATAAAAATCCAAATGCACGAGGTCGCTAGGCTTATTATAAATATGTTTATAGATATAAGAAGATGTGGTATGAGTGCCAATGAGACAACTCTCCATCCAAGTCAAAATTTATAAAAGTAAACCATTATCACAGTACGGTCTTCAACACGGAGCCTTGGCTCACACCGAACAGCAAGCTATAAAGGGCCCCAAAAAATTACTAGTGTAAAACCATTCAAACGGGAAAACCAACGGTCTAATCTATATAAAAAACGAGAAACCAGAAACACTTATGAACCACATCAACAAACGACAACTACTGAACATCAGATTCCTGACTTAGGACAGGTGCAAACAAATGCAGCGGGTTTAAACGTTTTAATGGTACCAAACCTTCACCCTTTTTTCCGAAACAATAGTGTAACATCACAACATAGAAAGACACACTATAAAATATCAACTGAAATAGCTTAACTCAATCAAAGGACATATAAACACCATTGAACATACACTGAACAAATAAATTTGACCTATGACACAATGTAAATACAAAATGAAGAGCATGGAGGACCCAAAATTATATGTTTATATCGTGTTATGGGACCATCGGCAGTATTCGAAGGTCATCTCGATAGTTATTTAGTTAATTAGATGGTGTCTAGACTAATATACACACGAAATTCTTATATATATTATCGTGTACATGCATTGTTAACTGTTAATTTCAGACTTATTGTAATTTGGATATACATTTTAATATGTTATAAATCAAATATGAGAATTTGAGTAAAATCGGTGAACATGGATTTGACAGCTAGTGCCCCTTTAAGGAACAAACAAATATTTAAGATAAACTAAATGTACTAGTTATTTTACCTGTTTGTTCTGCTTGCTCTAGTGGCAGTACTGTCATGGAAACACTTCTGGATTGTTTGTCAAATGTCAATTCAATTTCCTCTCCTTCTTTCTCCATTTTCTCTAAATTTTTCAGTTCTGCACTCATTTGATCTTTGATTTCCTTCTTTTTGAACAAATGACCAACTATAATCAAAAATATAAACCGATTATAATTTATATTTGACAAATTCTGTTATCAGAGGTCAAGGTTTATCAAAATAAATATTAATGTCAGATACTGTGGATTATTATTCGTTAGATGCCAATTTTCATGGATTTCGTTGGTACAAGGTAACCACAAATTTAAATGTTCCACAAATTACATATGTTCTATGGGAATATATGCAGATTTTGGCCAAATAACAAGCTTTTTAAAAGACTTATAAATTGAGAGCATATAAATAAAGGAACTTGAAAAGCTAAAAAAACATAAGGGTCTGTGTGCTTGTTTTCAAGATATAAGCCATTGAAAATTTGGCTGGAAATGATTCTCACTAGATTTTTCATACATTTAACATTTGCACGTTTTTCTTTCAAAAACTATGAAATAATAACAAGAATTTTATAAGATTTTCAAATATGGCTTTTTAATTAGTTATCAAAGGTACCAGGCTTATAATTTAATACGCCAGACGCGCGTTTCGTCTACATAAGACTCATCAGGGACACTCAAATCAAAATCGTTATTAAGCCAAACAAGTAAAAAGTTGAAGAGCATTGAGGACCCAAAATTCCAAAAAGTTGTGCCAAATTTAAACTATATGTAATAAAAATATGAAAAGAAAAGTAGGAGTTGGCGGGCAGTTATTCTATGCAAAAAAGAGGCAAAAGTCTGCATTAAACATAAATGTAGCTCCACAAGCAATTCTGCTATAAAATAATTCATGCTTATCATGCATATTTTATGCAATTCATTTCTAGAAACAAATGAAAAAAAAAATTATTCTTTTATGAGTTTTCACACACATTCCGAAAGTGAATCATTTATTTATTTTGATGTAGTTTACTGTCCATGGTCAACCAACTATTTGATTTTTAGAAAAAATAACTTTCAAAAAGACAAAATGAAATATTAGACTGTTGACTCAGAAATATGTGCAATGGGTATGTAATTTTGATAGTATTATGCAAATGTTGAGATTATATACAAAACTTTCGAACAATAAGGGAGTTCACTAAGCCAAATAATCTTTATGAAAATGAGACATGCCTAGCATACACAATGTGAATGACTTAGGATAAGTGGTTTCCTATAAACTGACCTTATCATAAACTTTAATATGTAAACTCGGGAAAATTTTCTAGGTCAAACGACTATGACTGAGGCAGTGGGGGCAAATAATCTCGATGAAAATGAAATGTGCCAAGGCTTATACAACTGCATACCAAATATCAAATACTTACCATTAGTGGTTCCCCATAAACTGACCTCATCAAAATTTTAGCAAATTGTGGACAATGCTCGTGAAAGCTCACCAAGTCTCGCCTATGTGGCTTTTTTGAGACAAGACAAAGACTAGAATAAATGTATGCATAGGAAAAGTGAGACATGAAAACTTAACAAATAAAATGCCATGCACCAATACCAAGCATATACTAACTAAAAGAGAATCTAGGTTGCCTAGAAGGAGAAATATCAGCACTTCCCGTCACCTCAGGATCTGCTCCATTCATGCTGGTACCGTCTGCTTTATCACCTTTCTCAGTCAGTTTTTCCATGGATCCTGATCTTGATCCTGATTCAAAAGCTGCATAAGCTTTGGTTTTCATGGTTTGGTATGGCACTTTATTGGTTGCATCATATTTATGTATAGGTAAAGGCATCACAGTGGTATAATGCTTCAATATCAATGGTTCTATTCTGTAAGCCTGTAAAAATCAATGGAACATCAATATCAATGGTTCCATTCTGTAAGCCTGTAAAAATCAATGAAAAAATCTTCCATATGGAATATAATATATAGCTTTAGTGTATTTCAAAGTTCTAAAACCCCTGCATGTAATTATTCTATGCAAAAGAGAGGCAAGAGATACCAAAGGGACATTCAAACTCACAAGTTGAAAATAAACTGACAACGCCATGACAAAAAAAGAAAAAGACCAAAAGACAAACAACAGTATACATAATACAACATAGAAAACTAAAGACTGAGCAACACAAACCCCATCAAAAACCGGGGTGATCTCAGAAGCTCAGGAAGGGTAAGCATATCCTGCTCCACATGTGGCAACCGTAATATGCGGAAATGCCAGAGATTTTTAATAATGAAAAATACTCAATTACTTAAATTTCTTTTCCCAGCAGAAAGGGCCTCATTAATACTTTTATCGTCATGTGGTACATTGTAGGAAAATATAAAATTTATTTGTACAAATTTAGAAAAAGGAAGAAAAGCCGTGCTTGCCATACTTTGCTCCAATTTGGTAGTCTGAACAAATAAATTTTATATTTTCTAAAAATTTATGACATTGTTCATATTCTGCAATTCAAAAATTTTTTGATTAAACAAATACTCGTTTACTTCCCAACCGTTGAATTTGTTTATGAATGAAATAAACATAACCTATTCGCAGACTGCGAAAAGGACCGTATTTAAACTGTGATGTCACCATGAGCAGGATACCAGGAGACCTGTGTTATCTGTACACCTATATTTGTATAGTATAAAGGTTGATTGCAGGATAAAATATGATCTACTGTGCCTTTCCATGTTGGAATAAATCCTCGTAAAGCTAAGTACTTACTACAGGATCATAGGGATGATAGAGGTTAAACAGACGTTTACAGACAGACTGTGGTAAAATATGATCTATGGTTCCTTTAGGTGTTGGTCTAACTCCTCGTAAAGCTAAGAACACAGCCAGCGGGGATCCAACACAAAACAAATTCTCAACCTACAAAACATTGAAAGTATAAGAATGTTATTTTTAAATAATACATAAAATACATAATAGTGGATAGAAGGAAATATCCTAAATATTGGACAGCACAACAGGCCATACAAACCACCATTACAGGACTCCTCATAACATGCCATGGATCTTTTGAATATTAAAGATGGTTGTGTCGCATATGATTTGATTTGCTTCACATCCAATGGAAAATATTACATGCATATTCAGGTCGATTACATGTAAAATTCATTTCCATATAACATATGATCAACCTTTTTAATTACCCATAAAGCCGCAAAACATTTTTTTAGATCTGTAACAGCCCTCATCATATCCTTAAGAAAACCAAAGTTTCATAATTTCTGGTTTTATCCAATCACTTACTGCAAATTCAGAAATTATTGGGAGGTTTTTATTAATGCGAATAATGCGACTGGGTGAGTATCGCAATAATAAGAACTCACATTCTGATATCTGATAAATATATCTGTACGAAGATTTTCCTGTGATCGCAATAATTAATCTCGTATTTTGGTCCATTCTTCATAAATCGCAATAATAAATGCACGCAATTATAATAATGTCTGAATTTACAGTAATATATAATATATACGTTTAAAAAGCTGTATAAATACCAGGACACATTTTTGTTCTGTTGGCAAAATCTTTCTATGAGAACAGAGAAACTTAACCTTTGACTTTTTTATTATTTGTTTCTTTTCCGTTTGTCTCTTTTACTAGAAAGGAATACATTCTTTATAATCTTACATGAAATTTTAATGCTGAATTTGCAGAATTCTGTTTGTCATGAACACCAGTCAACAGTGTCTCCAACTCAATCACTCTGTAAATAAATATTATAACCAGATATAAAAATAAAATTTAAGTAAAAACAGATAGAGAGCACAGGTAATTGGACTTTTCTAAGTCTGTTTGATTTCATGATATAGGTGAAAAATATATGTTTATTCATTGTATTTAAAATTGAGAATGGAAATGGGGAATATGTCAAAGAGACAACAACCCGACCAAAGAGCAGACAACAGCCAAAGGCCACCAATGGGTCTTCAATGCAGCGAAAAAATCCAGCACCCAAAAACATACTAGACTAACAAAGGCCAGAGGCTTCTGACTTGGGACAGGCGCAAAAATGTGGCGGGGTTAAACATGTTTTGTGAGATCTCAACCCTCCCCCTACACCTCTAGCCAATGTAGAATAAAGAAACACATAGCAATACGCACAGTAAAACTCAGTTTAAAGGAAGTCCGAGTCCGATGTCAGAATAGGTAACAAAAGAAACTAAGCAAAATGACAATGATACATAAATGAACAAAGGACTACTAGCAGTTACTGACATGCAAGCTCCAGACCTCAATTTGACTGATTGAAAGATTATGTCTTCATCATATGAAAATCAAGTACAATCCCTCCCGTTAGGGGTTTAGTATCATACCATCATAAATTATATGAGAACATAACCCGTATCATGCCAACAACTGGTTTTAGAATAAATGTGTTTATTTCCGATGCAAAGACCCTATGAGTGAATCAATATTAATGCCAAAATATGCAATCCTTAATGACTTGACAACAGTATCGTAACTATATCCTTTCCGAATAAGTCTGTTTAAAGGTTTGGTTAGCTTTTGAGGTGAATGCCGATATTTTTGCCTGTATAACAATGATTTTTTGTGGATTGAATCAGTCAATGAAATGGTTCATCCTTGTTTCACTTTCTTTATTGACATTATTACTTTAACGATCTGAACATGCCTAGTACATGCATAACTCATCTTTAGCTAAGGTGTTAAACTGAAGGTGACATGGATACGGATTGAACATGTTGAATGAGGTTGATTATTGACTTGAGAGTCAATAATACACCAGCAATGTTTTTGAACTTATTTTGACAAATTTGGTCCAAACTGACTGCTTGTAACAAAATATTATTTCAAAATTCCACTTTTAATAGTACTTGAAACAAAAAGAATCGTAATTTACCGGTAATGTTTTTTGTCAAAATCGTAGCTAATGCCCCTTTAATCTGAGAATGTACTAATTTCATACTATCATATTTCTGTGTTCAGTTAACCATGAAATCAGGACCAAAACCTTAATTTGATGTATAATTTAAAAAGTTCACATCATAAGTAAAATGTGTACTAAGTTTCAAGATGATGTGACTACAACTTCATGGTAAACTTCCTTAACCAAAATCTTTAACCTGGTATTGGACATACTGAGTGACGGAGAGACACATAGACCAGAAAGCATGATGCCCCTTTCTACAGCATACAAGGCATACAAATATTGAATTATAAAAGCATAATGGTAAAAAAAGTAATCATGGTGTGATTAATTTTCATTAATTCTTCCTGTAGACTCTATAGCTAAATGTACATGCATAAATGAGACAGTACAATTGAATATAATTTCAAATGGAAAACATGGAACTAACAAACCTTTTCTTGGCTTCATTCAACTCATTCAACAGTTCATCTGATCCCTGTGCTTGTTCCTTTTCTTCATCCTGTAATCCAAGTAGATAATTTCTCACATATCTTTTAAGTTAAAAGCATAAATTAAAGGAACCTAGTACAATATATTCTCCAAATCTATCAAAGATGCACATCCTTACATAGTTTGCAGTACTGTGGATTTATTCATTTTTTAGGGCTCCAATTTCATTGATTGAGGAAAAATTAAATTTTCTCAATAGCATAGATAATTTTCAGTTTGTTGAACATTTATATTCATCGTTCACCTTTACCGACAAAATTAACAAAAACTGGTATCCCACGAATAATATTGAATCCACAGTATTTGGAAAAACATCATTTCTAAAAAAAACCTGATCCGATTTTAGAATTTTCATAAAATTTTTTACAGTTATCTAAAATTACCTCTAATAGCAAAGTTTCTGCAAGCAGTGCCAATTCACACTTGGTGAAATCAAATAAATTTTAAGTGAAAAAAATAAACTGGTTTCCATCACAAAAGTCTGCATTTCGATTTTTGATTTTTCTTCAGTGTTTATCATTAACAAAGTACAGCTTGTAAGGTGATTTGGAAAAAGACAAAAATTCAATAGATGATTTTGTGATAAAAATGTTCACAGTAACAGGCAAATAAACAATCAACGAATTAGTTGTAATGTACCTTTTCCTGTAGTGGGCTTGGTTGGATGGCTTCCTGACTCTGTCAAATGGAGAACCCATTAAATTTATGGATTTGATTTCTTAAATCTGTAGATTTACTTAGTAGTTGAAAACATGCGTTTTATACCTTTTTACAATGGGGGGAAATAGAAAATTGACAATCTAATGTTCCGTACAATTAACAGCACTTTGTATGATATTAGATGCAAATGAAGTGACAGTTCTGGAAAACTTAATTTTGAATAAACCTGTATGTCTAGTATAGAAAAAAAAACCTCATCAAAGATACCAGATTTAAAATTTGTTACCCAAATCAAAATGTTAAGAGACCAAATCAAATGCTAATTTGAAGATTATTTCTAGCCAGAATTCTGAAAAGTAATGCCAAATATGACTAAGACCATCAATTCCTGGGGGTAGAAAACCTTATTGTTTGAAATAATTCAATATTTTATAATTTTTTTTTTACAGAAAATGATAATATTAATGACATTTAGGACAGTATATGTCAAGAAAAAAAATATGGCAAAAAAAAATCTTTTTGGCAAAAGAGATGGTAAAAACGAAAAATTCCCAAGGGGAATAATAACAAGATCATGTGTGATCAAAACATTGACATACATGTATGTAACTCTATTATTACTGTAAATTCAGAAATTATTGCGTGCATTTATTATTGGGAATTTAGTAGAAAGGACTAAAATGCGAGATTAATTATTGCGATTTCAGAAAAATGTACATACAGTTACATGTATATGTATCAGATATAAGAATGCGAGTTCTTATTAATGCGATACTCTTTCAGTCGCATTATTCGCATTAATAAAAACCTTGCATTAATTTCTGAATTTACAGTATTAGTTTTTTCTTAATAATAATTTAAACTTACAATGACTTTGGAGACTAGCTGATCATACAGAACTATTGGGTTCCAGCCCGTCAGTATATCATATGTAATAACAGCACCTACAGTAAACAACAACATTTGGATTCATTATTTTTGTAGAGTTATTCAACTCTAAAATCTAAATTTTAAGATAAACTATAACACAAACATGTTGTTTTTGGTCTTTTGGTGTCTATAAAATGCTTTTTCATACAACATGCACCCCCTTTTTAGCCCTTGAAACTGGAGAAAAAAGTTTCTTCATACGATACATATAATAAATACAGACATTATTGAAACGACTGAACTTCAAATTCATTAAGGCATCCATTAAACAGGATTTTTTGGCAACAAATCGAAGTCAAGTCATGGTTACGAGAATATATAAAGAATTAAGCTATGAATTCTTCTTTTATTATTATTTCACCAATCTGTGCTGGTTTGCAAATAAGATGCTCAACAGGGAAGTTGTTTAATTAAAATTGAGTTTAGTGAAACTTCTACAGCAGAACTGATATTAACATTCTGTAGCTATAAATAAATGAATTTTATTCTAATTTTCGTCTGATAAAGAAAAATCTTTAAAAAAAAATTTTTGAAAACATTAATGAGTTTGTGTGAGGATCAGAGAAATGTTTAGTTAGTCAAGGCTTTCTAATTTTAAAAAAAAATTAAAATTGTGACAGAGTTGAAATAATTTGATCAAAACATCATTAAGCATTTAACATCATAGGACAGTTACTAGTATGTTGGTGAGACAGGTTCTTCTTTTCTTTATCTGTTGGCAAAGTTACCTTGTAGATAAGGGAGAGAAGAAGACTAAGTACTGTCAACCAACTAATTTTGGTAAGCGACTGATTTTTATGACTTTCTTGAGAAAAAAATTAAGCGTAACATAAATCATTGCAAATATGTAAAACTTGGGTTTTCCTTTATATAAATACATTAAGAAAATATTGACCATGTGACCTCTAAAAGGATCAGGATAACAGCATAAAAGAAATATTATGGCTTCTATTAACAAACTTCTTCAGAAACAATATCTAATAAATTTATTTCGGTTTGTGTCGGGGTATGAATTAAACTGATCATTTTATGCTGATGTAACATTAAGAATCCTTCTAGCTGTAACTAATGGAAATCATACTTTAAAACAATGTAATCATTGAAACACAATGTTATTTCTGTAATTACTTACCAAGTGAATGAGCAACGACAGATATCTTGCCTCCGCTAGGCATAAAATAGGGATTTTTACCACAAAATTTATCAAACAATTGGTTTATCTGTGTCTGTAAACTCTGAGTAATCTGAAGAGAAACAACAAGTTTTACTTTTCTTTACATATTTATTTAAATCGACTATTCTAGATTGTAGACTCCTTTTGGTATTTTGTGTAATTATTTCATTCACATGTACCCTACATCTCCTTTTAAATGTATATGTGTCAACTTCCAAATACAATATAAAAATTGTATCCATACTTTCAACAGGTAGTTTAGGATTTTGATTTTGATTTTTGGTGTTTTAACGCCACTTTTAAGCACCGCTTTTGGGCTATTTCGTGGCGGCCAGTTTTTATTGGTGGAGGAAGCCGGAGTTGCCCGGAGAAAACCACTGACCTTCAATAGTAGGTAGTTTAGGACAATAGCAGTTGTTTACATTAAGACTAAATAATTTATTTTAAAATTTGCTGCATAGGTATCCTTTAAGGGGCAGTAGCCGTCAAATTCACGTTCACCAATTAGACTCAAAATCTCATATTTTATTTATAACATACCTAAACATCTATCCAAATTATAAAAAGTCCTAAAGATTCAATTTACAATGCTTGGATTCATTATAATATATCAACTTTTTGTGTGTATTTTAGAATAGATGCCATCTAATTAATTATAGTGATGATCTCTGAAGAATTCTGAGGCCATATAACCTTATGTTAACATAAATATAAATATAAATACACAGGCAAGCACATGCAATCATATAATGATGATTTTCAAGGTCTGTGTATGTATTTGAATGATTTGTCTTCCTGGTGGCTGCCTTGTTTCATTTTTCTTTTTTAATACATAAACATGCTTATCTCATGCTTAGTCAATGGGTAGCCCATCCCAGTTAAGGATTCAATTGAAGTTTGCATAAATACTGATTTAAATGAGTTAATTATTGACTTGCAAGCAAAAAATACATCAAGTTTTTGAGCTTGTTTTGATTAAATTGAACCAAAACTCTGCTAAGAGCTAAATAGTATTTAACAATTCTGCTTTTACACATGTTTTATAACTGTGTGAAACAAAAACAGATCTGATTTTGATTTTTTGTCAGTTTTGTAGCTAATGCACCTATAACATAGCAAAAAAAAACATTTTTAATTAGGAACTTACTTTAGAGTATTTTTGCTAATCAAGACTACAAATTTTCATAACCAACAAATTGCAGAATTAACTTGGATGGAAAAATCCTAGTGAGAAGCCTAGAATTACTATGACATGAAGAGATAAATATTTACCTCAGATCAGTAAAGGGGACTTGTATAGTACAGTATATCCATGGCAATACTGTTCAGTAAATATTTACCTCAGATCTATACAGGGGACTGGTATAGTACAGTATATCCATGGCACTACTGTTCTGTAAATATTAACCCCAGATCGGTACAGGGGAAAGGTATAGTACAGTATATCCATGGCACTACTGTTTAGTAAATATTTACCTCAGATCTGTACAGGGGACTGGTATAGTACAGTATATCCATGGCACTACTGTTCAGTAAAAATTTACCTCAGATCAGTATAGGGGACTGGTATAGTACAGTATATCCATGGCAATACTGTTCAGTAAATATTTACCTCAGATCGGTACAGGGGACTGGTATAGTACAGTATATCCATGGCAATACTGTTCAGTAAATATTTACCTCAGATCGGTATAGGGGACTGGTATAGTACAGTATATCCATGGCACTACTGTTCAGAAAATATTTACCTCAGATCGGTACAAGGGACTGGTATAGTACAGTATATCCATGGCAATACTGTTTAGTAAATATTTACCTCTGATCTGCACAGGGGACTGGTATAGTACAGTATATCCATGGCACTACTTTTCAGTAAATATTTACCTCAGATCGGTACAGGGGACTGGTAAAGTACAGTATATCCATTGCACAACTGTTCAGAATAGATCTAAATCCTAGTGAGTACCCTAGAATTACTATGACATGAAGAGATAAATATTTACCTCAGATCGGTAAAGGGGACTGGTATAGTACAGTATATCCATGGCACTACTGTTCAGTATAGATCTAAATCCCAACATTTTGTTTGGTGTAATGGAATCTACTGTATCTGTTAATAAAACATATCATCTTTATATGAACTGATAAACATATCATACATGTATTTAGGACATATATTTTGCTGAATTTTATTAAAATTTCTTTTCTCTCTTTTTTTTGGCATTACATTTATCATAAACTTCAATTTATTCAGGACTCTAAAAAACAGTAATGGTAAAACTCACCACATGTGCTTTTAATCTAAAAAAAATTGTGACTTGTAGTCTCTCATATCCTTGCCATTTGATGTTTAGTGGATATTTGTCTCATTGACAATCATTCCACATCTCCTTAATTGTAAATTTTAAACTTGCTGCCTTAAACCGTAATTGTTTGTAAGAAGAAAAGACACCCCACACAATAAATTATTTTAACTTAATAGACTTTGCTCTTACTGCTCAATGTTGTGTGCTTACACAGCAAACACATTTTTTTTTTACTTTTGTTTGATCTTGCAAGTTTTCAAACCCATGAACAAGCACCACAAAGGAGTACACACAACTATGAAACCATAAACATGTTTAGGGGCCAGCTGAAAGCCAGCCTCCGGGTGTGGGATTTTCTGTTGAAGACCCATTGGTGGCCTTCGGCAGTTTTCTGCTCTTTGGTCGGGTTGTTGTCTCTTTGACACATTCCCCATTTCCATTCTCAATTTTAACACCAAGCATGAAATCCTTTGCTTACCTCCATCTAAAATCAAACTTGACCGCCATTCTACAGGTAAAAATTCTGCTCTTTTATTATCACAATCAAGCTGAGGAAAGGTTTTGTTCTTTATACTGACACACTTCTCTCTCAATCTATAAATAGTCAAAATAAAGCAAAAAATAAAGTAGTACTATATATAAATAAGAACAAGGAGTATCACACTTTTGCCATTGTTATTAATATCAGCACTGGATTCCTTAGTCCCATAAAATCAGCCAAAACCTGAAATAATTCACTGTTAAATTTAAGCTTTGGTAGTATACATGAAGTGAATGAAAGTGTTATATTTTTCATATTTTATAATTAAGGCTTTGAATTAACCATAATACACTTTCATTTAATATAAAACCTTGTCTACAATTTAGTTTAGATCTATTTTATGGGAAACTGTTGTTGTATTGATCGTTTTTCAAATAAAATTGCAAATCCCTCATTATTTTTCTTAGTATCTTATTTTTCAAAATCTTTCTCTTGAAGTACAAAAGTTGAAGCAAAGGAGTCAGCAATGGTCAACTCAATGGTTAATTATTTTAACTAGATGTGTCAGAACCACACGAATCCCCCCCCCCCCCCCTTCACTAAAAAAGAAATTTGAGAATGAAAGCTGTACAACTGTTATTTTCATGAAATTTTCAAAGTCCAAAGCCCTAATTTCAGCACAAATCAGTGGAGCAGAACCAGACGTAAACTCAATTGGTAACTCATTATAGTAGACTCACATACTAAAAATCAGCTCGATATGTGAAGTCCTATAAAAAAAAGTCTGTATAACTGCTATTTTCATTATTTTTTCAAAGTCCAAAGCCCTTAATTTCGATGAAAATCAGCGGAGCAGAACCCAACAAAAATTTGATCTGTAACTCATCATAGTAGACTCACATACTAAAAATCAGCTCAATATGTGATGGCTTTTAGATAAAAAAAAGTCTGTATAAGTGTTTGTTGCGGAATGAGAGAATGACGGAATGACAGACAAGGGCAAAACTATATGGCCCCAACAACTTTGTTGCGGGGCCATAAAAAAACATCTATCATAGGTGAATATTCCTGTTAAACAGTTTCATTGTAGATGGCAACTAAATCAAATACTGCAAATATAATTTCATAGCAATTCCAGTGAGAGAAAACAAAATCTTCTCTATGGCCTACCCCTATATTTTAAAGCATAAAGTAAAGAAATAATGGTCTTAATAAGATATGAAATTTTAAATTTTTCCAAAAAAATTTTAAGGAGAAGATATTTACTCTATACAGCTCTTGACTATACTACCGGTGTCCATCTTTTGACCAATACCATGAACAACAAATATTAAATGTGTGATATCAGATGGCTTGTCGTCCATTACAGCTTCATACCTGTAACCCCTCTGTAGTCGAGAGCCAGCTAAAACATAAATAAACAACATTAATCAAATATCGCAAATAATGCCTTACACTGAAAAAGAGAAGGCTAAAAACTAAAATGAAACTAACTTGATTTCATACTACAGTCCAACCTGTGTCTAAAGCTTACCCTTGTGATTTAAGAAAATTGATGTTAAAATAAAATGCTCCGCTGGGGCGCAGCTTGATACGACCGCAGAGGTCGAACCCTGAACAGTTGGGGCAATTATGGACACAACATTCAAGCTTGATACAGCGCTGAATTTGGATTGTAATTAAATATTTGACACAGCATAGGTTTCTGACACAGAATGAAAGTGTTCTAAGAACTTAAAAAAATTTAATTTACCTATTCAAACCATATCATTATTATTTGCTTTTATATATAAATCAGAAATAACCAATTTAAAATGGAAAATTTTAAAGAAAAAAAAGGAAAAAAAAATCCCCCCCTAATTTTTTGAACCCCCTTATGATTCATCACCCCCAAACTCAATCCCAGCCTTCCCTTTGTGGTATGGTACTTTGCAGTACAATTTCAGAGAGATCCATAGACTTGAACCCAAGTTATTGTCTGGAAACTAGAAAAATGCTTGTTTTTTTGCCCCTTTTTGGCCCCAAATTCCTAAACGTTCAGGGCAATTACCCCCAAACTCAAACCCAGCTTTCCCTTTGTGATATGGAACCTTGCAATACAATTTCATAAAGATCCATACACTTACACACAAGTTATTGTCCTGAAACTAGAAAAATGCTTGTTTTTTTGCCCTTTTATGGCCCCTAAATACTAAAATTTTGAGGGAATTACCCCCAAAATCAATCCCAGCCTTCCCTTTGTGGTATGGTACCTTGCAGTACAATTTCAGAGAGATCCATACACTTGAACACAAGTTATTGTCTGGAAACTAGAAAAATGCTTATTTTTGGCCCCTTATTCCTAAAATATTTGGGCAATTACCCCCAAACTCAATTCAAGCTTTCCCTTTGTGATATGGAACCTTGTAGTACAATTTCATGAAGATCCATACATTAACACACAAGTTTTTGTCATGAAACTAGAAAAAGGTTTGTTTTTTGCCCCTTTTTGGCCCCTAATTCCTAAAATTTGGAGTCAATTACCCCCAACATCAATCCCAGTATTCCCTTTGTGATATGGAACCTTGTGATACAATGTCAGAGAGATTCATAGACTTACACACAAGTTATTGTCATGAAACTAGAAAAATGCTTGTTTTTTGCCCCTTTTTGGCCCCTAATTCATAAAATTTGGAGGCAATTACCCCCAAAATCAATCCCAGCATTCCCTTTGGGATATGGAACCTTGTGGTACAATGTCAGAGAGATCCATACACTTACACACAAGTTATGTCTGGAAGTTACAAAAATGCTTATTTTTGGCCCCTAATTCCTTAACTGTTGGTACCATAACCCCCAAAATCAATCCCCACCTTCCTTTTGTGGTATCGAACCTTATGGTAAAATTTCATTGAGATTCATTCACTTAAACTAAAGTTAGAGTGCGAAAACTAATGTGTATTCGGACGATGACGCTGGACGACGCCAACGTCATACCAATATACGACCACAAAAATTTGTTTGCGGTCATATAAAAAGGGAACCTATTTGAGGTTTAAAATGTCTAGGTATTACAACAGAGGGACAAGAAGAGTGTGACCTGACAAGACAAGTGTTTGCTAAATAGAGGTGACCTTCATAGCAGGTAAGACTGAATTAAATTGCAAAATCCTATTTTTTGCATAAGAATACAATACTATAAATTCAGAAATTATTGCCATGTTTTTATTATTGCGAAAAATGTGACAGGGTTGTAATCACAATGATTAAAATTTGCATTTTGGATTTTTTCATATGAATGAAGCAGGATTTTTCTCAGTATCGCAAAAATAATAATCGCATTTTGGTCTAAAATTACAAAATCACAATAATAATTGCATAAAATTGAGAATGGAAATGGGGAATGTGTCAAAGAGACAACCACCCGACCACAGAGCAGACAACAGCCGAAGGCCACCAATGGGTCTTCAATGCAGCGAGAAACTCCCGCACCCAGAGGCGTCCTTCAGCTGGCCCCTAAACAAATATGTATACTAGTTCAGTGATAATGGACGTTATACTAAACTCCAAATTATACACAAGAAACTAAAATTAAAAATGATACAAGAGTAACAAAGGCCAGAGGCTCCTGACTTGGGACAGGCTCAAAAATGTGGCGGGGTTAAACATGTTTTTTGAGATCTCAACCCTCCCCCTATACCTCTAGCCAATGTAGAAAAAACAAACGTACAACCGTACGCACAGTAAAACTCAGTTTAAGAGAAGTCCGTAATTTCTGAATTTACAGTACACTGCAAAATAGTATCCTATCTTTTCTACATAAAAAAATATTCTGGAAAGAAAGCAAATATTTTTGCAATTTAACTTATTACATGTAGTTATTAAAACAATCATCAATCTCTGTTTGGTGTATGACAATATGATTTTTAAAGGTTAGTCTATTTTGAGCTTGTTTAAAGTAACTGCAAGCATTTTTATACATGTATCACTAATCATAAACCTGTGTTTTTGTTCTATTTTACTGATCAATGTTATAGAGTTATATTCTTTTTCTAAAGTGATTTTACAGTACATTCTTCTATATATCTATATTCTTTCACTTACCACAATAAAAAGGGGGAAAGGTGAGTGATACAAAACTAGTTTAACCCTTCTACATTCCCAATGTTAAAAGTCAGAAGCCTTATCAGTTGTTGTCAATGACAACAACAAAAAGAAACAGTAAGATATAAAGTACAAAAATGAAGTAAGACAACCGCTGATGAATATGTGGCTGGGTCAATTTCAAATAAATTAATAGTCATTTGGTAAGGAGCTGTTTACCATCAGCAAGATCGGAACAATATATGAAACCCTATTCTCAATAGCTATATATATATATACTAGACTTTGATTTTTTTTTACAATACTTAGATCTATAATAAGACAATGTGCCACCAATGGTATTTTCAATCTCAGTATAAAAATTATGACTACATGCATACATTGTGTGCATTGTCTTAATGGCTGAGGAATCAATAATATTGTAAGATACACATTGTTAACTTTGTTAATTTCTTTTGAAATGAGTGCATTATAACGTATCTAGTTACCTCTCTGCAAGCCAAGCTTATTCCCAACTGCTCTAGCAAATTTAGAGGACATTGACTCACTATACAGGTGAACATCATTAGGCCCATTCCATTCCACATAAAACCATTCAAATTTTAAAAGAAGTAAAACTGAAAATAATAAAGTTACAATATTAAACAATTTTTCAAAACTATTTAAAAAGAAATGATCACTGAATGTCTTATTAAGCATTCCTGATGACGGTAAATCCAGAAAAGTGCTTCGACACATGAAATTTATAAAGTGTTGTTTTCATATTTCACTAAAAGAAAACAGCCTCCATGGTCCCATAGAATTGTGCTGGCCTGTATCAAACTAAGACGACAGTCTTCTACAGAGCAACCAGTATTTAGCGGTAAGAACAAAGACAGGTTGGCTGAATCAATACATGTAATTTGTCTGGGTAGGATGACATGTCTTCCTACAGACTGTTACCTTTCACATTAAAAATCTGGCTCAAAGTGTAGGTCTAGTAAAAATATGGGTATACTTATATCTGTTTAAGATGCCATCATCCTGAATATGCAAATAATACCAGTACTAGTAAAATTTTACTAAATTAAGACTATTTTTATATCACGGACTTTTGACTGCAGAGAATAAAATTTTTCGACAGGTTACCTACTCTTTGGTAGGACATTCTGTTACTTGATCAAGTAATATCAACTAAAAGAAGTAAAATCAAGCTTACAATCGGTGCAATTTGGAGGGAAATTAATTGTTTTCCGATGATTTTGTCATGCATAGAAAATATAAAACAGTTAAATTTTTTCCCAAAGGATTGCAAGTCTGATTTTACTTCTTTTTTACTTGCTCTTACATGTACTTGCCCGAGTACCAGAATGTCCTACCACAGATCAGGCAACCTACCACAGCGAGGCAACCTATGAAAAAATGTTATTCTCTATAGTAAAAAGTTGGAAATATGAATAGTCTGTTATAATCTACAAAACAATGTTGTTCTCTTTAATAAGATGATTAACTTCATCAGTGTACATATATTAAGATTCAATGTAAATGTACATGTAAATACATGTACCACATAATGTAAGATATCATTGTTGAATTCATACTGTTAGTACTGTAAATTCAGAAATTATTGTGAGGTTTTTATTAATGAAAATAATGCGATTTGGTGAGTATCGCAATAATAAAGATTTGTATTCTGAAATCTGATGCATATATCTGTATGGAGATTTTTCTGAAATCGCATTAGTTAATCTCGCATTTTTGTTAATTTCTCAAAAATCGCAATAATAAATGCACGCAATAATTTCTGACTTTACAGTATTAAACTTAGTTGTGCCACATCAAAAAGAAACACTACATTACATATTGAAGACATGTGCAGTTGACAACCCATTATTGTTTTAAATAAGCAATAAGTAGTATGCATGGTTTTCACTTTTCATTTGTTAGAAATGTCAAGTAAAGTGTACCTGGTTTTTTTCCTTTTAATGGAGATGGCACAAACTCATCCAACCTACGACCAAGAAACTTGGATATATGTTCTGCTTCTAATTGCTGACTATAACCTTCCTCTAGAGGTTGCCAATCCTGGTCATAAAACCAAAGACCGCGTGTAATTTCAGATTCATCTCCTGTGAAACAGAAAATCACATGTTCAGGTTAAATTTTAGTTCACAAAATTAAGTAATTGTGCTAAAACTAAAGTAGCAACTCTCTCGGACAGCATTGGTCTTTGTTTTGTTTGTCCTATTTAGGCTCTATTGGTTTTGATTTTTTTGGCATTCCAAACAGCATACCCTAATGAATGAATGAAGGTTATTCCAGATTCTTCAGAAAAACATGCTGTGTTCACAGAAACAGATTATTTTTTCAGGTTTTTTTTTACTATATCTCAGAATTTTTTAATGATACAACAGTTTACCTTGTAATTATAATTATTCCTGTACATGGTAACTGTACTGTCTTTAACCCATGACTGAAAGTATTTTAAATTTCAGAGATACATGTAGGAGTGTACAAAATGTTCATGTAAACAACGATGAGTTAAGGGAGATGGGAAATTCATACATTCAAATGCTAGATTTTAAAATTTGTGTAAAAAGGCTGGAATTCTAAGTATTAATACATGTAGATAGAATTGAGAATGGAAACAGGGAATAAAAGTATAAAAAAGTATTGAATAATTAGTTTCTTTAACAATCTGAAAAGTAAATACATTATTTGGAAAACTTCAATTAATTTTTTTTATTAAAAGTACTTTTATATACTTTTATTTAGATAGAGTTATCTACCTTCGGAATGATTATGTTCGCCATATTGTCATCAAAGGAACTTGCATACATGGCATACAAGACACAACAATTGAATTCCTGAAGTTCAATTGTACATTTTTGTACATTCTTTTAGTAAAAATGACATATATCTCAAAATTACAGACTTTATTAGCTATAAAAGCTGTATTACTCCATATAAAATAGAGTTTTCGGGTAATATCTATTGGTTCTCATGAATATTGATCAGGTTCATATTGAGTTTTGGGGAGTTCTTGGGAAATCATTGTACCGCTAATTATATCAGGGGTTCAAATTAGTGGTGGTCTGAGGTCCGTGACCTTCCACTTTGCAATCGGACTTTCGTTTTGGTTACTAATTATGCCGACAGACCTTCGATTTGAAAGAAAATAAAAATGAACTTTGCTGACCTTTTTAACCATCAGTATCGTCATTTTTAAGCCATATTATGATTATTGAAATAGAGATAATAAAATGTTTCATCCCTGACCTTGCCCTAAGAGTGATAAAAGTTATTTTTAACCTTGTATTTCTTGGAAACACAAGGTTATAAATAGTTGAGAGAAGTCACGTGACAACATTTTCGAACAAAATGAGTCTGTTTCATTTTGGTGTCACGTCTTCCAAGAGAAAGCCTGAAGATGATGAACGGTCTTCAACCACAGGCACTTGTTTCTATCCATGGGAAGGTCGACTATCCATACATTATATAGAAGGATATTCGACCTTCCCATGGGTAGAAACAATTGCCTGTGTCTTCAAGGTATTCCTTGGGAACAAAACAAAAGAAATAAAATGAAGATCTCACTAAACACCAAAAAAAAACAATCGTGAAAAGCTGGAACGGAAATTTAAGCCCCACTGCAAATCCGATCGACCGTGGCTATATTTTGATGAATCAAGTTCAACTGGTCTAATGTCGTGTACATACTGCCAGAAGTTCCCCACCCACTCAGAAAAAGAAAGTGCACTTGTAAGGGGAACACAAAATCTTAAAATAGACCCAATAAAAATGAACAAGTGACACCCCAGCATTTATCTTGTTTAAAGCAGTGGATCCATGAAAGTGACCCAAATATTAAGTCTAATGATTAATTGTCAGACACTAAACTTGGAAAATGTATTCTCAAGCAGCAATGTAAGCCTGATCAGTTAAATAGATATAAGGTTCTATTCAACACTGCATACAGTATTGCTAAAAAAGGGAAACCCTTCAGTGACTATGAATTTATTCTTGAAATCCAAGGCAAAAATAGTGTTGATGTCAGTAAGCAGTACAAAAAATGTACTTCAATATTGAGGGTTGTAAACTGTTTATTCGCTGGATAGCTCATTACATGAGAAACGGAACATTACATGCAGTTCAAATATGATGAAACAAACTAACCTCACTCCAAAAACACATTAATGTTGTATCTTAATACATATTATATTACAATTCTTACTATTTACTTGTTTTATTTTAACCCCCCTCACTCTGAATGAAGCTTTGGAATTGTTATAATTAGTATTTAAAACTTGTTAGTTAATCCTTGTCACCAGCTTTAGTGTTTCCTTTTCTAACTAAGTCCTATAGACCATGACCATGATGACTGTTTTTTTCCAAGATTATTTTATTTAAAATAACGTTAACATGTTTTTGAATAGAAAATTAACAGATGGAATATTCATTTGATTCTTAAGTCAGCATACATGTATGTCTAAATGAACATAAAACCATACCAGACCAATAAACTGGTTTGCATGTTTTCAGTACTACATCTACTTCATAAAGGCCTCCTCTTACTGAAATAACATCATTGTCAATAATATCTTCATCTTCATCGATAGTTTGTAAGGCTCTAAAACGACATTCAATTCTTAAAGAATCATATCCGATAAAGGAATGCCATTTCTTATCACTTTTTGATTTATAAAGCCATCGGACTTCTTCTGGACGTAAATGATCTACTTCTTCATTAACAGGGAAAAGTAAATTCTTTTGTCTTGTCAGTGGGGGCGTTGAACGTGATTCGCTTACAGTGCTGAAGCAATCACTATCAGGGCTATCTTCATCGGATTCAAAAAGCGACGGATACAACCGGTCATTAGAACTTCTGCTTGAGGAAGAGTGTCTTGAGTTTGAAGAAAATATTCCATCTCCAAGAGATCCAAATTCACTCATCATGGCATATTTACTGTTATGTATTTGAAATGCGCAAGATAACGTTAGACTTCGTCAAATTAACGGATTAGCAACACAACCAGCTGATTCTGACTACTACTACCAGTTTAGAATGACCTTCACCTTACGTAGCTAGTTATTTCGTACTTTAGCCTTTTCGTACCTTTGCCATTTCGTACCAAATTACTACATGTATTTCGTAACCAATATTTTTTCATTTCGTACCCTTTTCATTTCGTACCCATGATCGAAACCATTTTTTACCCTAAGGACCAACTGCATTTACCATTTCGTACCTTATAGATTTCGTATCATATATTTGTAAATCGTTGTAATTTTGTAACATCGGTATTGGAGATTTAATTTGTAAAAAATGGATTTTATAATTCAAAAAAGGAAAGATGCTTAGAATTTAGAATCATTCATGTCATATTGGTTTAGTTTGGTCAATTGTATCAGAGGTATAAAAAAAAAGTATGGGGTAAATATTATAATTAAGGACAACAACTCCAATAAACAGTTGATGATTTAAATGACAATTTCAGTCATGTGACTTCTTTGGTATGTCTTACATAATAGACAAATATTGCTGTTTAATTTTCTGTCTATCTATTAACATTTTAAGATACTAGGTAAAATTGCTAGTTTGTAAAACTCCGTCATTTAAGGTAAATGGCGCCTTTAAGAATCGACTAAATGTTTCAGTCACTTCTGATTTTTTACTATCTTGTCTTGCTCAGTGTTAATTTTTTTTTCTATCAGAACGGTTATCTATAATAGTTTTGAGATAATATACATACATGCTAAATAGGTTTTAAAAATTCACCAAAGATATTCGTCAACAGAGGGTTAAACAGTGTCTACAGAACAGTAAGTAGGCTAAAGTAGGCATTGCAACTTTAAAAAAACACAACGGTTGTGACAAATCTGATTAAGGCCATCTATTGCTGAGGGTAGAAAAACCTTATAGTGTTTCGATTTTTTTTAAAGAATTTAACATTTTATAAAAGTAATTTTTCAGAAAATGTCTATATGAATATTTCATGTCAGAGTGTTGACCTTTGGACTGGTGATGGAACGAACAATCCACCTGCAGTGACATCAACCCAGTGGATTGCAGAATCAAGGGTTAAAAAAGAATAGAGAAAAATTGACATTTTTTAAAGAAAATAGAATCAAAGGGTGCTAGAATATATTAAAGAATAGAGCATAGAGAATAGTTGGACACAAATATAAAGAATAGAGAAAAGGGACAAAAACATTAAAGAATACAGAAATGAAAGACCCCATTCACACCATTATAACTCCTTTAAGGAATCGTCTGATAATGAACGAATACGAAAGTCTCTTAAATTGCGGGAAAAAAATTGTTTTCAGTCTTGAAATGATCAGGTAGGCTGTTTAGTCTGGGATCCTGACACAATGTTCTCAATACCGTAAGCGGACTTCCGGTTCGAATATAGGTTATATTTGAATTGCAAAATCGAAAATATTTCATCAGGATTCCAGGTTAGTAGGCTGTTCCACAGAGTAGCAGCTGCAAATTTTAAAACTTTTCTTACCAAACTGTGTTGTTTTTAATGTGGAATATCCAGTGTAATACTATATCTGAAAGAATATTTACAATCTTTTACATTTAATAGATGATATGAACAGACAGGTGATAATTCATTAACTATATTAAAAGTTTCAATTGCCATTGGTCTTTGTCTTTCAATATGCAGTGAAGGCATCTTAGCCTTTTCAAGCAACTGTTGATATGAGTTTGAATGGTCTTCATAGCTTGTTCAAATAAGTTCCCAAACGTTTCAAAATATTAAGTTGCTAAGATGCCTTCCTGCATATTTTACCAATGTCAGTATCAAAATTTAGCTGATAATCTATGCCAATGCCAAGAAGTTTGACAGTTGACATGCACACAAAAGATCAGCACTTTGAATACGTATATACATGGATTTTTGTTATATGACTTTTTCCCAACTGTTCAAACTTGAAATTTGTCAGGGTTTGCCTGCATAATATTTATTTTGAACCATTCAGTAAGTTTAAGTGATTCAGATTCTAAAGTAAAAATTAAAACATCATAATCTGGATTACAATATATAAAGTATTGTCATCGGCATACTTATACAGAGTTCCATTTTTTTTTTTATAAATAAGAATATATCATTGATAAAAACATTGAACAGTAGGGAGCCCAGGATAGAACTATTTATTTTAGTTTGCTGTTTCCTGTTTGACAACAAAGATTGAAGAAGTTAAATCGAATGAGAAGAGACACCATTTTCTGATAATTTACCAAGCAGAATTTCATGTTGCAGGCAATCAAAAACCTTTGAAAGATCCATTAGAACCGCAGCTATAGACTGGTTATTATCTAATGCTGTACGCCGATCTTCTAGCAGTCTTAACAGTGTGGTCTGACACCCAAACGCTTATAGGATGCATTGATAATTGGATATCGCTTGATATCAACTTGAGTTATTTAATTTCAAAATAATAATGAACGAATCTTGGCGTTCTTGAATCTTTTGCACAAACCAGTATGATGACCAAACATTTCAAACTATGTGTACGCTTAACATTATCAGTGATCTATGATAATAAGGTCAAGGTCAGATAAACCCTGGCAAACAGATATGTACACCTTGTAATTATTTCATACAACACGTACAGTTGACTATTTGCTTATAGTATCAAAGAGAAGACAAACCATGAAAACAATAACATTGACCAAAGAACCATGAAAATAAGGTCAAGGTCAGATGATACACGACAAACAGACATGCACACCTGACAATCATTCCTGGCATCAAATATAGTTATTATACTGCTTATAATCTCTAACAGATAACTTACCATTGATCAATGAATCAAGAAAACGAGATCAAGATCAAATGAAACATGCCACTGAGACAGCTGGCACGTACACTTTTCAATCATTCAATGCACCAACTATATTTGACCTATTGCTTATAATATATAAGAAACCGACTTTACCGTGGAAGTAAATATTGACCAATGACCATGAAAAATAAGACAAGATCAGATGCACCCTGCCAGACAGACATGCAATCTTACAATCATTCCATACACCAAATACAGTTGACTTATAACTTAAAGTATCTGAGAAATAGCCCACCAAACTACAGAAGTTGAAGAGTGACTAATCAACCACGAGAATGAGACCAAGGACAAATGACACCTGCCAGACAGACATGTATATCTTACAAATCATTCCATCATCGTGACACCAAATATAGTTGACCTATTGCTTATAGTATTTTAAGAACAGATTAAAAAACACAAACTTAACAATGACCAATGAGCCATTAAAACGAGGTAAAGGTCAGATGAAACCTGCCAGACTGACATTTACCATTTACAACCATTCCATACACCACATTTAGTTGACCTTCAGTTCTGCTTATTGTATCTGAGTAACGGACCTAATCAGGTAACTTTTACCTTGATCACTGATTCATGAAATGAGGTCGAGGTCAGATGACCGCTGTCTGACGGACAAGAATACGTTACAAGGAACCCATATACCAAATATAGTTATCCTATTACTAATTATAAATGAGAATATCAAATGACAAAAAAAAGAGTTTTTTCAAGCAGTCGCTGAACCATGAAAACGAGGTCAAGAACAATGGACATATGACATACGGAAACTTGAAAACTTCGTAACATAAGGTATATGCATACAAGGTATGCAGCATCCAGGTCTTCTACTTTCTGAAATATAAATCTTTATACAAATAGTGTCCGACGCCGCCGCTGCCGCCACCGCCTCCGCCCAGATAATAATCTCTATGTCTCGGAATTTGCGGTTTTCGTCGTGATACAAGAAATGTCTCTTTATACGGGATATAGATACAAACCATAAGAGAAACACAACTAGAATCACTCATTTGAATGTAAAACACCCTTTTAAATCAAATGAAGAAAACAAAATGATAATCCATATTCAGGATAAACAATCCTGCAAATAAAAAAGGGAAAACTCTTGCAATAGAACATATATGACTCAGCTTTATTTTCATACAAAAAGAAGGGTGTTTTAACAACTAATACCAGCAAAATCCTAAAAATCTGTTATGACAATATAATGTCAAGGCCAATAAAACTATCCCTATCTTCTTTAATACATACTAAAATGCACCCCAATGCAAGGCTAGATGTTCTTCACATATTCACTAATTAATTCGCATGATGAAAAAAGGCGATTTTTGAAATTAATTCAGGCAAAGTGATGCAAGCGAGAAAAAAGAAAACAAATATACATGAACGCTTTTTTTTTAATTTATTATCATACTTTATTGAATAGTTTTATTTCGGTACTGTAGTCATTCAGTTCCCCATGAACCATTAGGATTGATAAGACACATTTTTCATGACCCATAATGTAACGTGACAGTCCCTGGCTATCAGTTTTATCATCTTCCGGGTTTCGAATTTATAATTCACCTTTAAACGAACCGATATGTCAGTAGATTTGTCCATTCGAGGCAACAGTAGTATACCGATGTTCAAATCTCAATCATAAATTCATTTAGAAGGTACAAATGAAGGTGAAAAACAAAAAAACTAAATCCCTGAGGAATCACACGAAATACAATAGAAGCTCGACTAGGTGCACCGACGTCTCATGTTGTGCATGTATCACCCGCCATGCGAGTTCGCACTGACTAAAATGTCAGAATCGGTAAATTTACAGACCAGACAACTATTCCAGTAAGGTCTAAATCACTCACCTGCTGAAAAGCACCGAAGAGTGTAAGATTTGATTTGCTTCATTTGGACAAAAGCTTAAAACTTAAGTTTTCATAGAGAATTTGGAATATGGAATTGATAATTGATAATTGCCTAAATGATTGTTGAATTTCAAGAGTTATCCCCTAGTATTGATGTTTCCTGTAACCTCTGTCACTATTCGATATGTAGCCTGTTCAAACAATTTCAATTTTCCGTAATATTTTTTCTTGCAACAGCATCACCTGTATTAAATTATCTTCCTCCAAGTCCCAATTAATTCAAAATGAATAATCGACTATTTATATTTTGTCACCTTTGAAATAGTGATATACGA